TTTTTTTGAGCAGTGTATTATGTTCCATTTAAATGTGGTTAAATGATTAGATGGAGAGAGATAGTATATATATTTTATCTCTATCTATCTTTCTATACAATACAGGTAGTCCTCTAATTGACCCTAAAATTTCCAGTGCTAAGCAAGGAAGTTGTTAAGTGAGTTTTGCCCCATTTTATGATTTTTTAGCCACAAGTTAAGTGAATTTCTGTGGTTGTTAAGTGAATCATGCAGTCATTAAGTAAATATGGCTTTCATCATTGACTTTGCTTATCAGAAGCTGGTTGGGAAGATTACAGTTGGTGATCATATGATCTTGTGACAGTGCAATGTTGTACTTGTTGTAAGTGAAAACTAGTCCTAAGTCACTTTTTAAAGCACTGTTGTAACTCTGAGCAGTCAATAAATTAATGGTTGTAAGTCGAGTATAGGAATAATGAGTAAATCATGGGAATCTACAATTTGAAAACAACAAATTTCCAGGGATATAGGATAAGGACTTAAATATTCTTTTCCAGGCTGATGGACCAATGTAAAGGCATACTAGAAATACAATTAATCTAATACAATTAAATCTAGCAGTTCCGAAGAAAAAATTAGTTACATAGTCAAATCCAGCTATCAAAAATAAATTAGAAATTGCTTTTACATTTTAAAAATCTTGCTGGCACCCACAAGTAATGCCCACCGAACTTTACTGAGCTGGCTAAATAGGAATTCTTGGCAATGTGATTGCCGTGATATTTTTCTTAATTAAAAATGTAAAGGAAATGAGTTGGTGACTTGAGCAGTGGTGGCAGCCTTTTATGACTTGCTTTTGCAGTTCTCTAATCATGTCAACTACCAATAATGTCAATTTCCAAAGGTTTGATTTATCTTTCTATATAGTACAAGTAGTCCTCGGTGTAAGACCACAATTGAGCCCAAAGTTTCCATTGCTAAGCAAGGAAGTTAAGCGAGTTTTGCCCCATTTTATGTCTTTTTTTCCTTTTTCTTTTTTGCCAAATCCTATATCTAGGGCTCATTGAAGAAGAAAAATGGAATAAATAATGAGTCAAGGGCTTTGTAAAGAGCCAAAGCAAAATAACGCACTATTACTAAAATACATGGTTACAGAAAGCCAACAATCTGATGTACTCAGTACAATTTGACCCATGCATCAAATTGAGTGGCTGGATCATGTAAACACATATAGTACAGTCGGGTTAATCTGATAATAACTGTGTTGTGAAGATTTGTTCTCTTTGCATGTAGCAGTGGTGCAATTCTGTGTAGTTTTGAAGGAAAAGTGTTAATGGATTTTGTCATTTTATGTATTCATTTTGTAATACTGCTATATTAGATATCTTCATAATAATAGTATTTGTCAACCTAATGACTTGGAAAACGAAAAAACTGAAACCACATTGAAGGACTCCATTGTTATTAGCAAGTTAAAATTAAAACACATAATGAAGAACTGAATAGTCAAATAGAGTAATAGGAAAGGAGGCATTATATATTCATCCCTATTTTTGCTGTTATCATGTGGGCATTAGTATAGACCAGAGGTGTCAAAGTCACATTGTCATGGCAGTGTCACATGACATATCGGGACTTTTTTCCTCTTTGCTAAACTGAGCGTGGGCATGGCCAGCCTGTCATGCATCCAGCCTGTGGACTGGGAGTTTGAAGCCCTGGTATAGACTGCATATTACTGATAGAGAGCATTAGTCTAGAGTGAAAAGAAAAAGCATTGCTAATTTGTACTTATGCTCAAATAGAAGGGCAAACTCATCCTAGGCCTTGCATTATATTGGGTTCTGTGCAAAGATGATTGTGATTAAGTCAGCTGCCCCTGCTCTTCGCTCTGTTGTTCATACATTGGATATCATTGTTGGTATATAATTAGTTCAAATGCACCTTATTTGTGTAATTCTGTTTACAGATTTGCGGTATCATTGTTTTACATTGTATATAAAACTCTGGGATACTATTAACATAGATTTCTGTCAGAGCCAGAGTTGGATGGTGTACATCAATAGTGAAAGACCACTTGGCATACTTCCATTTTCCCATATTATATCTGAGTCTGCATATACAGTATCTAGGAGGTTCCTTAACATAGCAATTGTTTTATCTGAAATTGCACAGATTTAAGTTAGATTGCTCTCCAAATTCAGAGCAAATGCTACTTCTGATTTTATTTTAAATAATCATTGTCTCAGAGTAATTATAGAGATATTTCCTAAAACCATTGAAATCATAAGGATTGTATAGAATTCTGAAATTTTGAACACTATATATTTCTTAGGGTTCATTGTCTGCAAATAAATTATTAATTATTGCTAATATTAATATGTGCAATTGTACTTTATTCATTAGCCTAGTAGCATTTTTGTCTCACTCTAAACCATCTTGATAGCTAACAGTACTTCTGATTACTTGATCTGTTGTGACCTTGACTGTAAGCCCCATTCTTCATTGTTCTTAATTATAATTTCAGGAGGGAGAGGGCGATGGTGCTGAAGATGAAGAAAGAAAAGAAGAATCAGAGAAAGGCAAGTATAAATATGCATAGATTTGTGTGTTAGCAAGAACTGAGATTGTAAAAATTAATTAATACCTGTTTTACTACAAATTGAAGTATTTCATTTATCTTTAATGCCGAGCTTACTTACAGATTAGGCCATAATCTGTTTTAAGAAAAATAAATTGTCATCTTAGTACTTGTATGTAAATTCATCATGATCAAAATGCTTACTGGTAAATTAGTAGAGTTTCAAAATGTATTGGAAAATGTTAACTCTTAACATTTCCCTAAAACAAATTTTATTCTTTTGTAATGGAAATATACTGTTTTGAACTTTTGATTCCAAAAATCACTGCAATCTCAGCATTAGATTAATAATTAAGCAATAAACTAATTAGACTCCAAACCTCCTTCATTTTACAAGTGTCAGAGGCGGGAAAATACCCTTTGACTTTTAAAGGCCAATGTATCTTATCATCACTTTAATCAGTTAATGTTCTTTAATTAGCTTAGATACTTTTAATTAGCTAAATTAATTTTATTTATTCAAATTATAAATAATGTGTCATGAGAATAATAATGGAATAATTGGATAGGATTGGTTTTAATATCAGTAGTTACTGTTGTCACACTGTGAAGATGAGGACTGGATTGGTCTGTTTTGAGCAGGAAGTAGCAGATTCCAGATTCCATCACTAGCATTCTGAGGAACTTTCCACCTAAGTCAAATGATTACTTTTGTGTACTGTTACCTGTAAAGAAGATAATTACCACACAGAACTTATTTCATGGGAAGAATATTAGAAGCCTACATAGGAATTGTCTCTTCTGCTTATGAATGCCTCACATTCCTTCCATTTTTATAATTCTGGTCCAGCTTGTTAAAATGGGACATTGTCTGTCTCCAAGCAATATAGTTTCTTGCTAGTTTGCTGGTAAATTTCCTATTGGAAACCTTCAGTAGGGATTTTAACTTGTTATTGAATTTGTCTTCTTGTTACTCTTATCCCTCAATATTGTTACTTAAATTTTATTTTTCTTCCAATTCAGTTTCTCCATTGATTTGTTGCACAAACTTGAATGTTTCTATTTGTTAGTTTTAGCATGGCCATTTTATCAACATTGTAAATCCACTGAAAGATCAATGTTTACTCAGTATTTTCATACTGAGTAATCTGTCTTTGGGTAAAATATTTTAGGATGATTATCCACTGAATTTGTATTTAATTAGTAAGGAAATAACTTCAACTGAGTTATCAAAACATATATATTGATCACAAAAATGCCAACCAGAATAGAATCACACTACATGTAATCAGCAAGTACTTCAGGTAAATTGTGCAGTCTTCAGACTTATTTAATGTTCCCCAACATGGTGCAATCGACATATGTTTAACTACTTCTGTAATTGCATGGGAACAGTTATTCAACATATCTAGAGCAGAGTTCCCCAATCTTTCCAGCTTTGCAGACTTAGGGGGATCATTCCGCAAGAGTGGGGGCAAATAGATGTGCGCATGCACAGCTCCATTTGTGCTTTGGGCAGTCTGGTTCTGAATAGCTCATTGCCTGGTAGTAGGCTGTGGCCCGGGGGTTGAGGACCCTGATCTAGAGGACAGCAGATGGAGAAGACCTCTGTTTACAGCTTGCATGTGCGATCAAATCCAAGATTAGTTTGAACTATAATTCAGTTTTGTACTTAAAGCTATTAGGAAAGTTATTACTTTTTGTGCAGTACCATTGTTTGTTTGTTTATTTGCCACCCATCTTATATCCAACAACTCTGGCCAGCTTACAGAATAAAACATTAAAGCAGAAAAAAGATTAAAATAAGTTTACCAGTTTCAGTTATGTTTATTCTAACATTTGTAAAGAGAAAACTTGTAAGACATAATTATACATAAAAATATTCAGACAGTAGTATACATAATAGTATATCATCTGAATTTACAAATGAAGTCATTTGACCGTATATGATATGAAATTAAAAAGCTTGGAAATAGTACATTATTGGTAATTTACTGTTGCAATCAGATGTAAATTCATATTTTGTGTGTTAATACCTCTTGGCCGCCTCACACACAGAAATTCTAATTTTTGATGTCTTACTACATTTCAAAACTGAGATTATAGATATAACTATGAAATAATTTTGCATCCTTGATATAAATAACATTGTCTGAAGGCATGTGGGGATGTGAGCCCAAAATTTGATGACGGTAAAACAATCCTATTGTAAGGTAATGTCTAACTCCTGATCAACATATTGAACAACATAGCACTTGTAATCAATCTTTACTGAACAAATTGTAAGATGTATTAGCTACATTTTATGACCAAAAGAAATTAGTTTCATAATTTCTAAACACACCTAGTGCTAATTTGTATAGCAAATAAGAATATCATTCCAAAGGTTGCATGAGTAAATATGTTCATATGCTTCTTTAAAGTTGTTATAAATAACTGATTTTGTATTTAAAGCAATAGATATTGTTTTAATATGTATGTGTATAGAAATATATATGTGTATGTATGTATATATATATATATTTAGGTGCTCTGACAATTCAAGAAGAAATCAGCCAAATTAAGCGCAAATTGCAGGCTGGGAAGAAAACTCAAGAGAGGCAAAAAAAACGATACCGTGATCGTATGGTAGAAAGGTAAGCTGTTTCTCTGGGAAGGCTTGACTCAATAGCAATAATACTTAGACTAATATATTGCTCCGCAGTGCTTTACAGCACTTTCTAGGCAGTTTACAATTGTCAGCATATTTTCCCCAACAATCTGGGTCCTCATTTTACTGACCTCAGAAGGATAGAAGGTTGTGTCAGCCTTGAGCTGTATCATTATCGAACTCCAGGCTGTGGGCAGAGTTTGCCTGTAAAACTGCATTCTAACCAGGGCTCTTTGCTAGTATTTAGATTGTCCATTTTTGTGTGGTGGTCTTTTCTCTTTCAGATTTGATTATTTCATTATATTTACATGTTTTGGTTTTGTAAAACATCCAAACTGTTAACATAAGGAAAGTTGACTTGATGAAAGTTGACTTGATGTCTTATTTTTGAGTTAGGATTAGGGAGAACAGTAAAAGAGAAAAGTTATAGTGGAAAGAAACCAATATTTTTTCATAATTCTGCCTTGCATTGAGTTTTTTTGTTACTGGAATTTTGAGCAGTTATATAGAGGGAAAATAAGCAAATTTAAGATTAGGGTGCTGGTAGTCCCAGTAATTCTCAAGTTATGTTTAGGGACAGGTGATTTACAGAGAGCAAAATTATAAGACTTCAGGATGGTTTTATAAAACACAACATGTGAAGATTCTTTTTGTGCTGGAAAAGATGGTATATATCTAAAATACATCAGCTTCTCTTCCTAAATTGAAGATGAGTTCCCAATGAATATACTGTTCAAAAAAAGCAAATCTTTAAATAATTGTTTTATTTGCTATTTCTTTACAGAATTCAATTTGTATGTTCATTGTGCAAGTATCGCACTTTCTATGAAGATGAGATGACCAATCATTTGGAAAGCAAATTTCATAAAGAGCATTTTACATTTGTTGGAACCAAGCTACCGAAGCAGACTGCTGACTTCCTGCAGGTGAGTTTTCTCTCCTTAAACTTGCCTTCTACTCATATTTCCAAAAGCACCAATGATACTTTCCTGTGAAAGAAATCAAGGAGTAGCAGTCCTTGCTTAACAACCCCTTGTTCAGTGACCATTTGAAGTTATAACAGTACTGAACTGACTGATTTGTGGCCATTTCTCATGCAGTTACATGATCTTAACCCAGGCATTTGGCAACCAGCCCATAATTACAACAGTTGCAGTATCCCATTGTCACATGATCTCAACTTACAACCTTTGCATCCTGTTTCCAATAAGCAAAATCAATAGAAAAGCTAGCAAGAATTTGCAAGTAATGTTACATGATGTGGCACTTAAGAAGTACAATAAGAACTACCATCATATCTCAGCACAGTCATGTGATTTTTTTCGCATTACAACCACAGTGCTTAGTGACAGTTTGCACTCCCACTTATAGCAGTTAATTGTGGACTGCCAGAAAATATGCCAGAAAAGGATTGTTTACTTGTATTTTTCACCATAAAGTAACATGGTTGCTTTGCTCTTTTTAATTCTTAGAAAGAAATGAAAATGTAACTTGACAGGAATTGGGAGAGGAATTGAGAATGGAATTTCATTAGAAGGCCTACTCTGAATTTTACTAGCATTTGTTTTAGTATTAACTTAAGTTTTCTTCAATGCAGGAATATGTAACTAACAAAACAAAGAAGACAGAAGAACGCCGTAAAGCAATTGAAGATATTAATGCAGTTATACAACAGATTTATAAAGACCAAGATCTTACACAAGGTATATATGTTTTTTATCTGAAAGTTTCTTAAAATCAGGTATAAAGTGAAATATATACTTGTTCCTTTTTTGTATAACTATTATAAAAATGCCATAGAGTATTGATTAGCAAATGCTTCAATATTCTTTGTACAATGGTCCTAAATTCTGTATTCCGCTAGCTAAGATCTTTTGAGTCATGGTATACAGGAGCACATAGAAACATCTTTTCAAATTGGTATAATGAGTTAATTTTTCCAGGCTTATACACAGCTTTGGGAGCTGTCTCCATGTCCAGATAATTTCATAGCTACTTCATGGGAAAGAATACGTAATAATAATATAAGCAGTTTCAGGATATTATACAGAATAGGGATATTTCTTAGAAAAATATTTTTATTTACAAGTGACAGTATCCTAAAAAATGAAGATCTATTCCCACCCCTTCCTTTTTCTAATTTGTATGGATAGGTCTCCATCTTTTGTTATTATTCAGTTCCATCAATATTTATTAAATTTATTTTTTGAATTAATCTGATGATATTTCTAGAACCTTAGAGAAGATGCAATGTTTCTAGGTTCCTTGATAGACAGATGTTGTCTTATGGTAATGCATATTCTCCTACAGGCTGTAATGTATGGACTTTATTTTACTTAGATATAAGCATGGAACATTTTGTAAAAAAGGTGGAGGCTGCTCACTGCGTTGCCTGTGACCTTTTCATCCCAATGCAATATGGAATCATCCAGAAACATCTGAAATCTCTTGATCATAACCACAACCGTAGAGTAAGTGAATTTTTTAAAATTTATTAAACCAATTTATATAACTGCCAATCTCAGAAACAAGAAACCCCAGGGGCTATACAACAAATCTAAAAACAGTTTATACATTAAAATTTCCGGATACTCATCAGAGGTAGCCCAAGGTAGAGTACTGTACATTGCAATAGTCACTGGGAAGTGACCAGAAAATGAGTGACCATGAATGTAGGAATAGGTGTAACTGGCACATGATATGAACTTGTGGAAAAGCTTTCATAGTCATAATTGCTACTAACTCTTTGAACAGGAGTTATGAGTCTAGGAGAACCCCCAGATTGTTAATAGGGTCTATTTGGTCCAGTGCACACCTGTCTAGTACTAAAATGGTAAAGTCCCAAAACCAGAGAGGCACAAAACCCAAAGCTACTCAGTCTCGCCAGGGTTTAGTTGAGACTGTTATTTTCCATCTAGCAGATCTTCATAATCTCCAGACATCGTAATAGGATATCCACAGCCAATACCCTTTTCAGGTTCTCACCCTAAAGGTAGCATAGGGACAAAACACTCACCTGACAAATTTGGGGAGGAAAATAATCTTCTTTGCAGCTATTGGAGAAAAAAGCTTTGCAGGATGTGTATGTTTGGAGTCCACAGCAGTCTGCCACTACACTGCTATCCCACTCACCCAGCCTCTCCAATAAACCAAGCCACCGAGTCCTGGTGCCTCTACAGAGGGAAAGTCCCATGCCATCATCTGATCCGTGTGATGAGAGATGGCAGCAGCAAAGAAATGAAAATACAATACAGCTCAACAATGGCAACCAGCAGCAGGTCCATGTGCTCCAGCTGGCTCCATCTACTGCCAAGTGCCCCAATAGTCAGATCACTGCCCCAGACTCTAATACTCATAGCAAGCCTCAGTGCTTCAGCTGACTTCAACCTCATATATAATCTCCGGCTCATTCTTGCATTTGAGTGCCTGCAGCTCCACCATGAATAGGCACAGCATGGGTGTGGTGGGCATGGCAATACAGTAACTACAGCCAGAGAGCAAACACAATCTGCCTGTCTTCCACCCGCCCCCCCCCCCCCCCCCCCAAAAAAGCAGAAAAAGCCTAACCGAGGTCCAGTCCAAGTCTAAAGTCAGATCCAATCCAAGTAACTGCCAAAAAATTTGCAGATTCATTACTAAAATAGTAATATAAATTGTAATAAATGCCTGTTCATTTCAAAATAAAATTAAGAAATGTTACAGTGTATATATTAGTATTTTAGTTTTTATTCTTGTGTAACAAGATTCTTCTCTTCTGTATAAATTTATTATATAGTTACAAGTGGCATCCTATATTTTCATTTCTGTGATTAAAGATGCAGTTTCCCTTTTGATTTTGTACATTTCTTATTACACAAAATATATAGATATCTTTGCTTGCAATTCACTGTTTTCTCTGAGTATCTTGAAGCAACAGAATCTTTATGAGTGGTCCAATATATATCAGATATGCCTCTACCCTTACCTTGTCCTCCTTTAAATGAATGATTAACATTAAGTGAATGTCGCTTTGAAATGAAAAAGATGTACATTCATGTTGTAAATAATGATATGCATGATTTCTTTTTTGTTTGTTGTTGTTGGTTTTGTTTTCTAGGCTATGATGGAACAATCTAAGAAATCATCATTAGTAGTTGCAAGGAGTATTCTTAACAATAAACTTATCAGTAAAAAATTGGAGAGGTATCTAAAGGTTAGCAAACATTTTTTTCTGAGACTTACTTTTACTTTTTTCCCCAGCATACTACTGATGTTTGTATTACATGTGTGCTTATTTTCTCTTCTTGCACTCAAATTCTTTGTTTTTTTTCTGTATCCAGCTTTTGTTTCTGAGTCCAGATTCTCAGTCTTCTATTTCTTAGGTTACATTTTTTATTATTACAGGTTTCACTTTAATAGTGCAACAAGTTCCTTTACTGCTAGTTATTATATTCACCTTTAGCTCCAGTTTTAAGGATTACTAACATTTCAATTTAAATGTACTTGGTATTTCTCAATTGTATTTATTTTCCTATGAAAATGGATTTTTTTTAAATGATACCTCATAAGAATAAAAACTAAAAAATGTACTGGCTAATTAATTTTTATTTATTTATTAAATTTATATGGTTCCCATTTCACTGTGACTGACTCTGGGATGCTCATTAATGGATAGCACATTCTCTCCTTTTGGAAACTTTACCACATTATCAAGATGTGCTCTGGTTGGAATGTCATGGTTTCCAAAATAGATCTATTCAGTTTCATCCTTATCCATTTTTTTAAATTTATGTTCAGACCTCAACTGCAAGGACCATTTCACAAAATAAATCTGGGGAGAATCAGCACTCTGGCAACATTATCAAAATGATTAGAGAAATAATAGAAATGTATAAGGATCCAAATAATTCACACCAGAAAAATAGCAGTTAGTGTCTTGCATGGCAGTTAGTGATTGGTTGTAAGCATTCTGCTCCACTAAATTCACAGCACATATAAGACTCTGCTACTTATTGCCCAAGTTAAGTTTCAGATCTGCTTTGAAGATGTTAGCAGCATGCAAAATGTCAGCACATATTCAAGAGTTTTAGTTTTCCTTTCTTCTAATTCAATATGTATTCCAAATCTGGAGCAGAAACTTTGTTGATCTCTTAAAACAGATCTGTTTGTTGGATGTTCCATTAGTGGAATTATGTCATTTGATTATTTTCAAGTGTCATTTCCATTGCATTAATAAAAATAATACCACAACTATATATTTGTATAAGACATGTCTTTTTGTAATTCTGGGCATTGATAATTTCTGATTAAAATGACAAAAACTCAGTATAGTATCGTGTTTTGTAGGGCGAGAATCCCTTCACAGATGATCCTGAAGAGAAAGAGGAACATGAAGAAAGTGAGGCAGGAACAAGTGGGATCATCGAGGAAGGAGCAGCTGAAGGTGAAGGAAACCTAAATGAAGAGCAAAGTAAAAGTGATGACAATCCTTCTGAGGAAAATCCTGTGGCTGATGAAAGTGCAGAAAATAAAGGTGATGGAGAAGAACTACAAGGACAAATGGAGGAATGGAATTTGACCACATCTCAAGAAAGTTTTGCTACTGAGCAGAATCCAGAACATGAAGAAAAAGAAAAAGAAAAAACAGAAGAAACACAAGACATTGTACCTTCAGAGAAGATGGAACCACCTGATGAGTGAACTTGCAAAGAAGGTTGAATCATTTTGAGACTCTGCATTAAATCTTCTAAAACCATACCTGTATTTGTGACACACCATGGCACGTGGCTTTTGGTTCTCATTGACCTCACTTTCACCTAGTTAACAACCTTTATTTGTAAAGTGTTTTTGAAAATAGCTTTTTTAACCAACTTTTCATTGTATTAGCTAGATTTTGTGCAGTACAATTTTTAAGTGGCTTTGTACTAGGAAGTATACTTTTTTTAGTAAATAATCAAAATCAAATTTTGTCAATTGGCTTATACCATGCTAAACCTTGAAAGGATAAATAACCTCTAAATTTTCCCATTTACTTTTGTATATAGTTGAAAATGTTTTAGTTCCATAGCTAGTCTTGTCTGAAAATGTCAGTAGCAGAATTCTGGGTTTTAAATTCTGCATGATTGGAATATCTTCCATGCAAGTGTAGCATTCTTCTATCTTTTTACTTTTAATATTCAAAAAAGACTTTGGTCAGCACAATAATTTTGCAGTGCTTTTATTTAAGAGGGAACATTTGCAACAGTTGGTTATAAAATATTATTAGGGCTATATGTGTAAGTTTCTGACAGAAGCAGAAACCTTGTTATTGTGCAGAAAGCCTCAAGGAGAAATAAATGCATTCTGGCACTTTCCAAAAATTCAATTTATATTATTCTGTTTGAAATCAGGAGGATTTCTTAGTTTCTGCTTATTTTAGATGGATGTTCTGAAAATGAAGTCTGTAGCAGCCCAACAAAAATCTACTGAAGAGTGTTACAAAACATTAAATATTCCCTTCAAAGCAGGTCTTCCAGTTGTCTCATTTTAAATCCTCCAAATCACCTCTACTGCATTTGCCAGAATATAGTATTGCTTCACTGTTTCTTTGTTTTTTAAGAATTTCAGGCATTAATGCTATTAGTTTAACCCTTGCTGCTACCCCAGTTTCCAAGCAATAGTGATACAGATACTGATATTCTTGTTCATGTTCAATTTACTATCCTTTCATTTCTCTTTATGTACATGCCCTCTTCCTATAGTGGAGATCAAGCAATGGAACCTGAAAATATTCAATGGACATATTTTTCTGGAAACCTACATTAGCAAAGACAAGGGTGAGTGAAGGAATCATTACACACTGGGTGGAGGTCTTTCTGCCTTATTATACTACTACTTCCTTAAGACTCAAGCAGCAAATAGCTGCTGGAGAAACATGTAAAAATAAGTTTTGTGAGAAAAAGCATTTAGTAATGTATCGAATTGACAGAAATTGAAACATTGACAAAGTTTCAATGTATTGCTTATTCTTAATGTATAATGACTCAAATGTTCATAGTGGTAGCTTTGTCTTGTACTCAATCGAATTGTAGATAATAAATTTTATGAATGTTGGGAGTACTGAAATTCCAATATAAACTTGTATTTATACATATGGATTGGTATCTTAAAAGGTATTAGTGGTTGGGCTGAACAAGGAATACAAAATATACAAAACAGCTTTGAGGTATTAGTTTTTAGGAAATAACTGACAGAGACATGTTGCCAATACAGGACTTCAGTAAATCTTCCATCTTCTTTCAACATTTGGGTTCATACATGCCAGTGGTATGTTTTTGCAAAATGATATTAGGTGCTATGAGAATTTTCTTTACATCAGTCTGAACGTTTATCAAGCCACATGTTAATTCCAAATAAATAGCATTTACCATTACCTGAGAACAGGGCTGTCAAACTCGCAGCCCGTGGGCCAGATGAGTCACATGTTGACCATGCCCATGCCCAGTTTAACAAAGGGGGTAAAAGTTGTGATACGACATGTGATGCCCTGCATTTGACACCCCTGTTTTAGAGTAACTCAAATGCATTATTTCTTGGATTATTAGTCAATTTGTAAGCAAATTTACTCATAGACTGAGTAATTATACTTGGGATTCAGCCTTACTAAAACAAATCTATATTTTCATATAATTTTAAAACCAGGGGTGTTCTTTTTTATTACATTTTTATCCTGCCGTTTATATATATAACTCAAAGGGGAAAACTAATTCTTGTGCCTCCTGTTTTCCTCACAACAACCACCTATGATGTGGGTTGTTCTGAGAGAGTGAGTATTCATTCAGCCACTTTTCATGGCTAGCAGGCCTGGAATTCTCAAGTCTCCTTGGTTTCTGATCCAGCACCTTCCCCGCTGCACCATACTGGCTTTCCAGTTTCTCTCTCTCTGGATTGGGATATTTGTACAGGGTAGTATGCACTGATGAAGGATGCTAACTTTTTCCCAGAATCTGATACTTTCTTCCTTTGACCCTGTTCTCTCCACCTCCTCTCTCCCCCCTTCCAATATACTCCAGCTGGGACATAAATCTTGGAGAGGAAACCCCTCCTGTTTGAAATAAGGTACTACTAGATGGGAAGCAATCTTGAATAGAATTAATGAGGTTGGGAATTAACCAATTACTTTGTAGAGCCTCATCTGCAAATGATGCTTTGATACTCCAGCTACATATTACTCACATAATATGGCGATTACCCAGTTTTTCTGCCTAAGACCATTTTGAAAATTTGAATCTGTATACTTGAAAGAAAATGCTACTATAGTTACTGATTTTATTCCAAATTACATAGGCAGATGACTGCAACTATGTTTATTCAATTAAATAGATATTCAGGAATTTCCTGAATATATATATACAGGATCTGGCCATGGGTCAGCCATTGGTTTCCTCATTGCATTTTGAGTTAAGCCCTTTTTCTTTCATGTAGGAGTAGCTATTTAAGGTATCTATAATTGTTTCCTACATTGCAATCTGGAAAGTTCAAAAGCACATTTCTAAAACGTACTCAAAGTTAAGAAATTATTGAGTTGTTGTATGTATTGTTGCAAAACTGGTATTATTATAGGAGAATCAAAGAAATAGTCTGTCCTATTACAGTTTCCAAATTTTTGTAGTCTAATGGAAACTTCCATTTTTCAATGTAACCTGCCCCCTAAAATCTTTTGCTTGTTCATCTAATTTGTCCAGAAAGTTGGAAATATTCTTCAACACAATTTGAGGTCATATAAAAAAAAACCTTAAAGTAATAGCCCAACTTTATAAACTAATATGTGCTTTTATTTGTTCATGGTTTTCTTAACTTCAAAGGAGATATTACAATAACCAGTTTGTTTTGCTTGCTGTCTATGACTGAAATGGTAGAATAATTTTCTTTTATGCACTTTTCATATTCACATAAAGCGGAGCTTTGCCGCTGCTTCGTCCGGGGTCTCTGGGCAAACACGTCCACCCGAGCGGGGCTTGTCGCCTCCGGCACGCAACGAGCGCTGCCCTCGGATTCCCTGTCCGGTTGCCCCCCTTTTGAGGGCGATGGCAGTAAACTGTTCCCGTAGCAGCGGCTGCTCCGCTGACATCCGCGGGCAGACAGGCGAACGCGGGACCTTCTCCTCCAAGGGCGCCCGGCGCCTTTCTACCCACACCCGGCCCGTCTCTTTCAAGCGGCGGCGACTGCGGGGCGGGGGTCCTCCTGCGGGGACACCGGTGGGCGCGGAAAGAGGGGAGGGCAGGAGAAGCTCCTCTCCCTGCCCCGTCCCGGGGGGGGGGTCTTCCCCTTCTCCCGGTACAGGGAGCTCCGCGGTGCTGGGCGGGCGCCAAAGACGACGCTCGGGGCTCGGTCGGAACCGTCCGGCACGCCCGATCCGATGCTAGCGCAGCGGCTCCGCGCAGCTTCGCTCCAGCGGTGGCCTTCCAAGCCGTGGCCTTTCCCTTCCCGAGGCAACGCGGGACTGGGGCCGCTCCGGCGGCGGGGACTCCCAACGGCCCCAGCCGGGAAGGGAAAGGCAGGCGGCGGCGAC